AACAGCTAGAGGTACGCCCTGTGTGATCGAGGATATTTAGGCTCTTAACAAGAGGCAGTCCCGATCATTCTTACACAAGCTACCACTGCTAAATCCTAACTGACTAAATTGTACTTTAGCTTAATATAGCTTGAAACCTAGTAATTTCCATCGAAGTTTTACATTGTTCATCCTCGGTCAATACTACTGGGCCCTATTCTTGTTGATATCAGCCATTTCTATATCGGTTTCTGTCGTCGAAGAGTCTGCGGTGGAAGGTTGAGGCTGTGCGGGGAAGACCGTTGGTACGTGGGGTCGTCCGGGATGCGCACTTTCTGGCTGTGTGTTAGCGCCTGTCGGGATTCGTGGGTTAGGTGACAAGCGGTTTGTATTATGTTTTGCTTGATATGCCTTCTGGAGCCGGTCCGTGATACATTGTAGAATATATGCTTTGGTGGAATTAACAAGGGGGTCCAGTAAAGCATCCATGCTACGAGCAAGAAATTTTGGTGCTTGTTCACGTGTACAGCGGTCCTCCCGCTTGGTGCGGAGATAGTGGATTAAGGCTGCTTTCGTAGCGTCAGGATGTTGTTGGGAGCGGGGGTCTGGTTTTTTTTGCATGTCGTTTCATCTGGGCGACAGCGTCATTGGGAACACAAAGTGGTGGCGATTGAGGAGCGGTTGGGCGTGCCAGTATTTTTCAAATACTGATTAGGATGGGGGCTTGCCGTTGGGAAAAATTGCCCGAAGGAAGAGCCATACCGGAGTAATGTCATCCATTTCCGTGGAGAGTTTGTCCAGCATCGGGCGGCCCATCACTTTCGTCAGAAAGTGTGCGGGTACTGGCGGCTGCAGTAGGGACTGAGAGGTCGGTGAGATCGGGGCTTTTTTGGGGAGTCGGTTTTGTGGGGTTGCCCACTTTTGAGCGGTAGCTGGGAGGCTCACTGCTGCTAACGGGCGCCTGTGGCCTCGGTCTTTTTTTGCTGGCGGAGCTGGCGGTCTTGTGGAGCCAAACAGGAAGGTGTTGGGTGTGCATTCATTTAGAGGTGCACAGGTTTGGGATTTAAGGTCTCGGAGTTCGGATTCGAGGTTGTTCACTTTAGCACAGAGTTCAGAGAGTATTTGGTGCATGGTTGATTTCCATTGGTCGTCAGCCAGAGGCTCTTTAGAGATGGGCCCATTTTTGTCCAGGGTTGGTAGGGCCGGTCCCGACATTTGGTTGAGATTAGCCTGTAGAGTATTGACCTGGGCAGACAGGTCTGTGATAGATTTTTGTACATCCAATTTCCATTGGTCATTGTGCAAGGAGTCGTTGGGGACGAGCGCTTTAGTTGGGGATTCAGCCTGGCCCGACATTTTTCGGAGGCTGTGGGACTGTGGTCTGTGGGTCGTGGGACTGTGGGTCCCCAAACTCCCCACTGGGATTTTGTTTTCGAGAAAAAAAAAATCTAAACTCCAGGTCCGGTATGAAACTATGTGACTTTTTAGTGGGGTCTGTGAGTTTTTTGAACTTGGCATTCAGTTTTACACTGGTGACTTGCGGGTCACCGAGATTTACGTTTCGGTCTCTTCCTATCTAAGGATCTTCTGTAGCAATGAAGTAGGCAGCCTCACGTCGTTGAACAGTATTCCAGCTACATCAATTTAGTCGATCGTCGCAACAGACATCAGCAAGATACACAAAACGTAGACAAGAAGCTCGAAGTCCTTACGCGGGAATAGCGAGTTGGTACTACACAACTGTTAGGTATGTGTATCATCATTGATGCATGTTCTGTGTTGTATAAAAGTACACACACGGACTCTCAGGAGAAGGTAGATCAGAGGATCCTCCATCAAGTATTCGCGAATGATTTCTAAAACGGGAAACAGAATCACTGACGTTCGCAACTGTGTATATGCATGTCTCAACTTTATCTGGTATTGGCGCACACACAACACCGATAAAGGAAATGAAGTGTGAAAAAAAACAAGGAAGGTGAACAAAGTTGTGACAGGTTTGAGGTTCGCCCGCAAGTACTGTCGATACTCTGGCTGTATCAAAAAGCTGTGTAGAAGTGGTGATGAATACAGTACTTGTGGGCTCGGCGTGCACAAAGGCTGCTTTCTCGCACACGTTCGTGAAGCACACCCCACCGACGAAGAATAGTCGTGTTACGCGTATATCAAGTGTGTAAATTAACGTTTAAAATATAAATATATAAAAGTTAATAATAAATATATATAAATGGAAAAAGACTTAGATTTAACAAGAGTAGCCATACATTGGTGTAGAACAATTATCCTGCTGCTGAATGGTTAAAAATATGTCCCATTGTTTTCAAAAAATAAATAGTGAGAAAATGATTTTAAAACCAAATATCGCCCATTCAGGCGGAACATACCCCCCAATTGGGCGATTTTCAGGACACTATAGAGTATAGACTATAGACACACACTCTCAGAGAGAGTAGAGACTGAGAGTCTGAAAGCCTAGCTCAGAGTAGCATTGCGAAACACGCCGTTGACCGAATTAATACCGTATTCGCACGGTTTGCACAAAGCTAAATATACGCGTTTTTAAAAAAAATTACATACCGTTACGTACGTTTCGGATCAAAAGAGGGTGATTTTATGAGTGTTGTGCTATATATTTTTTTAAATAAATAAAAAAAGTTACTGGATTAGGGGGCAGACCGGGCACCAGACCAACAGACGCCAGTCGCCAGAGTCCAGACTCCAGGGCTTCAGCCTGCTAGGCTGCCAGCCCAGCAGTGCCCTGGGCAGCCAGGTTGCCAGGCCTCAGCGAGAGTTTTGGTTCGATATTTCTTTTTTATTTTGTTTAAAACAAAATACATATATTATGACACGGACAATTAAGACACCCCCCTCTTGGGCAATTACTATATACATATTTGTTCATAGTCTTCTAAAATAAAACAATTTGGTTTTCTTTATATTTATGATTTACTTTAAAAAAAACCATTCTTATGTATGTACTCATTGTGCTGTTAAATACCTATCTTACAAAATTTTAAAAAAAGCAAAAAAATATTGTTTCTAAAAAACAATATAAAAGTTTTTGAATATATTTGCGTGTGAACAATATACAGTTTAAACTGTTCACACTTAACACTGAACGGAGCGGGTGAAGTGTGAACTTCAGAATTGTGAACTGCGAGTCTGTGAACAGTCAAGTTCACTGAAGTGTGAACCGTGAACTTATGAACTGTCATCTGTGAAGGCGTGAAGTTTTTGAAAAACTATATCAGTTGGAAAACCAGTGTTTGGATTCTAAACTTAGTTGGGTAATTTTTTTTAATCTATTTGTTTTTAGAAACAAAAACCCAATCCAAAAATTTAAGAATTTTTTGTGAACTGTGAAGGCAATTTGTTTTTGTGTCAAGCTGTCAAGCATAGCCTTCTAAATTAGGCAATGAGTCAAAGTAGAATAATAACACAAAAGGGAATTTAATGAGTAATAAGGGGGGTGTCTTTTTTTAACGCGATCAGAAATTTCTGTACCGAGCCAGAATCAGAAAGGACAGAAAGTACAATATTGGTGCATGATGACTCGTACTGTGCACTTCTTGAACATTTGGGTCTTCGGCAAATTTTCGGTGTAACTCGTTCCCGTACATTTCAGAGAGTTCTGACTCCTGAGAAAAGTGACTCATCATTTCTCTGTAAGGGACCATGTAGTGGGTTTCACTTTTTCCATCAATCAGAAACGATGACTGAAAAACGGTTCACAAGGTCGACAGTACGTTTATGGCTTGAAAATCGCAGTTACCGTAAAACAAGCTTTTGAATACGTACTCCCTGATTCTTATTTTAAATTCTGAGAACAACTTTTGTTCTCGAAATTTTGTCCTCGTTCAGAAAAAGTTTTATTTTATTTTCATAAAATAAACATTTTTTCGGCCTTCTAATTAGTTTATATATTTATGCTTTTCTGATTCTGAACGTTCAAAATCAAAAATTTCTGATTCCGTTTTTTAAAGACACCCCCTGAGGCCTGAGTCCCTGACTATTTAAATATAGAGTAAATAACTATGTTTTATTTTCTTGAATTTAATTGAATACCAACTTTTATTTTGTAAAAATATAAAGCAAAACAAAAACAAATCTGCATATTTCTGTTTCAGTTTTCATAGTCCTCTGTTGGATCAGGATTTGAGTGATTGGTCTTGGCCCTTGGGGCTTGGGTCTCTCAAGCGGATATCAAGTACAGTAGCGAAAATCGTAAATATTAAAATTTAGCGCAGACTTTCAGTATGTAGCGAACGAAATACTCTATTTAAAAAAAATAAACAATAGTAGAGACTCACTAGAGAGATTCTAGAACTATTAGTGAGGACTGAGGCCTGAGGACCATGCTTTTTTGAAAGCAATGTTTTCTTCACAAAATATTTGTGTTTTTATTTTATTTTTATACCTCTGTATCGAATTTTTTTTGACTATTGAACGACGAATGCATTCTTTTTTGTCGTGCCGCAACCCTCTGCTGGAGTACCATCGACTCCTTGCGACTTTTGAAACTTCTTGCCCTCGGCCTCAAGCCCTCAACGCCCTCATTACTTAGTCCTCAACAATATACACCACAAGAAGTGAGAGACAACAAGAGACTGAGGTCTGAGAGTACTCTACGACTAGAAGGCACTAGCATTATTTTTCTAATTGTTTTAAAATAAATATTGAGGCGCTGAATTCTGATTTATCCTAATTCACAGAATACAGACTACAGGCTACAGACTCACAGACCCTTACAGACCCCCTTTTTTCTTAAACAGGACTTTGTTTAATGTTTACACGACACCCGTCACATTAAAAAATTTAATACCCGAGCCCTACTAGTATTCCTATCTATATGAACCGAGTGATTGATTTTTGAATTTATGTTCTATTTGAAATCACAGAACAGGACAAAATCCCTTGGACCTGGAATTTACAACAACGGGACAAACCCAAATTCAACATTGTTGAACTACAGTGCAATTGTGCAAACCAAACGATCATATTTTACACATGCAGTCTTCTTTTCTTCTTGTGTATAATTTAGAAGGCTATGAACCGATATTTTTTATAATATTCAGAAGTATGGATCCACGAATTCACGCTCACAGGTCTAACACAACATTGGCTCTCTCTAGTCTGAGGCGTTGTATTCTATTTCAGGTAATAGGTGTAGATTATTTACCGAAAGCTGATACTTGACCGTTGATCGGTAAAAATATATTTTTGCGAAGTGGTGTCTACGCGTAATAGTTCGGTACTTAGAGACAAAGTCGCCTTCGTGGGCCCATAAATATCGACCTTACATTTGCGAATGGACCGGATGGGCGTTAATAATTTTATAGTGACGGGTGTCGTATAGACAAAGTCGGTCCCAGTCCCATTGGCCCCACTCCCCAGTCCCCAGACCTAGAATTGAGAGCTATTTGTTTATAATAAATAAATAAAATTACACGAGACTGATTTTGATTTTTTTACTTGGAGAAGTGCCGAATATTTAATAAAAAAACCCCCCAACAATAGTGAGATTTGTTAAATATTATATTTAGTTGGTTGAGTTTCTGTTTCTGTTGCTGGAATATGTTATTCTCACTCGAACACATACAGTCTGAGACTGAGACTCTGAGACTGAGACCGAGTGACTCTGTGTCCTGTGAGAGTTCTGAAATTCTAACTCCTGAATCCCGAGTCTCTGAGAGTTCCTCTTTAACTTTCCACATATATATCGGTTTTGAAAAAAAAACAAAAACAAAAACAAAAGCAAATAATTGGTCGGGACACTCGGAAGTCGGCAATCGGCAACCGGCACTCAGCACTGTCTGCACTCCCCAGTCCACCTCTCGCTTTCGTAGACTCGCGTTGGACAAATATTTACTTAAAAAATATTTAGCGGCAGAATCGATTTTTAAAAATATATATTTTGTGGTTTTTACACAAAAAAAAATAGAAGGCGAAGTTCGAACCTTTTCAAACCATTTTTTTCTATTTTTTTAATTAAAAAATATTGAAATTTCACACAAAGCGACAAGACGATTTCAATTTATATATTTTATATATTTATGTTCTCTTCTGCTGGTAAAAATTAAAAAAACGAGGTCTATTTGCGGATAGTCTTCACACTCGTATTTACATCTTTCGCGACGCATGCGTGTGATATATCAATCAAGCTCGCATTAGTATACCGACCCGGTCAAACGCACGTTGAGGAACACATGTGCGTCGCCATAAACTCACACATATATACTAATTTCGTATTAGTGGCAAGTCGCGAGAGCTGTGTACTTCTAAGAAGTGGCTATAGCCAAATTAGCGAGCAAATAGGAGTTCAAGTGTGTTAGAATTAGTAACTATAACCTGTATTCACCTCATCAAAGGGACGCAAGTGCACACGTTATTGCATAACTCAGAAAATCGAATTTGCTATCATCATGACAAGGGCTCGCTTACAGGCTTCTACCTTGGCTCTGGTACTAGGCTTGTGCTCCACATTTGTGCTGGCTCAAACTACCTCTACAGCCGATATTTGCACTGCCAATAAAGCCAATACGGCATGTGTTGTATACGCAAACAATGCATGCCATGAGACAATTGAAGATGCGATGGCTACATTTGCAGCCGATGCACCTATTGAAATGACATTGGTGCAGTCCATATCATTGGCAAACACGATAAAAAATAGCGCCACACAACTTGTCTTTGACATAAACGCGTGTGCCGATGTGGTTGTGTCGTGCAATCCGGAACTGGCGGGCATGGAGGCTTTCGATTTAAGGGTAAGTCTTCTTCACATTTCATTGTCAAGTTACTTCATACTCGGTTGGTTTATTCGGTATGTGTACACAGATGATGTGGTGTACATATAAACTTAGTTTGAAGCGCAAGTGCAACTTGGGACAGTGAACTCGCGGACGTGCACCGCAATGACCATTGCCAAATATATCTCCCACAACACATCGGCTGTTCGACTTAATAAATGCATATGGACATCTAACTACATGTGTATTCGCCATAATTTCGAATCTAATTGTCAAGTGCACAGTGCTTCAGGCTGTTGAGTAAATCTTATGCGTGTTGAGTTTTGCACGAAGTGCAGTGTATTCAAATTGGCAGAGCACTTCAATTATGTAAGCCAAATTGTGTTCACATATGCATAAAGTGGGGTTTAGTATCATCACACCAAGTATGCCCCAAGTATGACCCTCGATTTCAAATCAGGTTTGCTCCACTTCATTGCTAAGGGTACGGCCTTTGTAAAGGGTATTCTATGCACATATCAGTACAGTCAAAGATCACCCTCTACAACAAAAGCTATCGTTCATGAAGGGATTATTTGGTGACATTGCAGTTTTTCACTTCCTCAGTAGTTGCGTACAATACGTTTTGCCATGTTACATTCCCAGGAATTGCATATCGCACTCTGGTTCCGTTTTGGAGTATATGCACATGACACTCTGTACCCGGGCTGTATTATCACTTACAGACAATTGTCCACAGCGGCTATATAAATTGTAGGAATTTAGTTTCGGTGAGGCTTCTTTTTGTTGCAACATAGACATTCAAGTCGTGCCATTTGCTGTTATTCACAGGGTCCAGATCCGGATACCAGCCCAAATATCAACTCGGTTAAGTTTGAGGGGTTCACAGTAGATTCGTGTACCGGCCGGGGGATAGAAATACATGCCACAACTTCGACTGTAAACGATATGACAGTTACCAATTGCGGAAGTACATCGGCCGAACAGTCTGGTGCCGGTATCTCGATAGATGGCGCTTCTACCTACGTTTCAAATAGTCGCTTCATCAACAATACTCTGAACTACAACGTCGCCACTGCGGTATGTGAGTTCGAGTTTTATAATTTTTCCAATGATCATTAACTTGCCTACTAGGGCCGAGCCCTGTGCCTAAAATTCAAGCCTCGACAAATTACCGCAGTGTTGTCCAAATTGTAACCAATCTCTTGATTGTGTCGGGTTACAAAGTTATATAGTATATTTGCTCAATACAATTAGCTATAGTGGTGTACAAATTGTTTACGGATCTTTACTCGATTTCACACATACTCTCCATGCTCGATGTCACACATACTCACCACATCATGCATGCTCATTATTAAAGTTCGGCGGTGGCTTATACATGGGATCTATGGAAAACGCCACAGTTACTGGATGTTACTTTGAAAACAATGAGGCTTCTTCTGGCGGTGCCCTATGCGGTGACTCAACCTACCTAGTTGAGAACTCAACTTTTGTAAACAATAGATGCTTCAAGGTGTGTGGGACGTCAATTTTCAATACATTTTATTCGCAAATCACAATCACCAAAATGATGCAGCACGCTTTGTTGCGTCGTTTGTTGTGTGCTACATTGCATTGTTCGGTAGCAATCGCTGACATTACAAATATGAAGAAACGTTATTAGCGAATGCGATTCGCTTGCTTGTCGGAGTTCCATCTTCTCCTGAACAACATCTCTTGTCTATGTAAAGTGCAGCTCGTACTGCAGAAACGTAGCGTATCAGTGTGGTAGTGTGATGCGGAAGTGTGAAGATATGGTCACATGTTATTTATATATTCTTCCGCACGTTGGTCTTCTTGGCCCCTGTTTGGAACACTTTTGAGCATCAATTAAGAATGATTTTATTCTCATGTCATACTGTTCTCAATATATTAAGGTCCCATTGTATTCATTCACGTTTTCTCACTCACCCTGTCACATTGTTGAACATTTTGTTTCAGAACGGATGTGCCCTTCTTGCACAAGTTAGGTTAGAGGTTGTTAACTCGACGCTTGATGGCAACTCACAAGTTGACGCTCCAGGTGTCTCTCTCGGGGCCGGAATTTTCAGCCGTGGTGATCTGACGATACGTGATTCGGTTATGACTAATCACTTTGGTGGCGTTGGAGGCTGCTTTTTCATCAACGACGATACGTCCGTCGGAAGGTTTTACAATACAGTATTTGACAGTAACATGGCAGTCGAGTTGGCCGGCGTGGGTAATTCTAATGGAGCGCTTGAGTTCTACAACTGTACCATGACCAATAACTTCTGTGATTTCTCGTCCGCTGTGTACTCTCAGGTATGTGTATTTGTCTGCATTGTGATTGTTATGTGTTGTACCATCTTTTACAGCGAAGGATGCGGTATGCGCATTGGTGTAGGTGGTCGTCTGCGTTTCTATGCCCCTGACACTAGTTTAACTCTTCTCTGCAGGCTGACGTGTCTCTTGAGGACTGTACTGTGAGTGACAATACCGGAATCATCATGGGTGCTGTGACGGCCGATCTGGGTGTACTGACTGTCGACAGATGTCTGTTCGAGAACAACATAGCCTCTGAGGCAGCCGCTTTGAATACCTACAACTCAGGCATGTTCATAAGAAACTCTACATTCCGAAACAATAAAGCTCTAGTTGATTGGTGGGAGTGGGAGGATTTACTCAAGGATCCCTCTGGCCTTCAACCCGGAAAGTCGGGCGTATTCTCATCCGTAGGCAAAGCTGAGATTGAAAACTGTCTGTTTGAAAACAACGAGGCAGAGTTCGATGGTGGGGTCGCCAGAGCCAATACTGTGGTAATGACAAATGTCACGGCGCGTAATAACAGGGCCGGTCAATCAGGGGGTGTCATCATGACGTTTGAGAAGGGCGAGGTCATTACTGTACGTGATTCGTTTATCGTTGATAACTCTGCCACAACTGGGGGTGCGTTCTACTCGGCTTTTTCAAATGTTGTCATTGAGAATTCACAGGTGGTTGGGAACTCTGCCGTGCTCGAGGGTGGGGCTGTGTGGGCATCTCAATCGGCCACGGTCACTAACAGCACCTTCAGTTGTAACCAGGCCAAGACTGGGGCGGCTGTGACGGTCAAGGGTGTGGTGGTTGAGGTGGTTCCTGAGGACTATCAGCTCACGTTCATGAACAATGCGGGTAAGACGTGCACTGCCTTGTTTGTAGGAGATGGACTCATATGCATTGAGAATATCGCCAACACGTGTGAGTGCGAGTGGGCGCAGCAGCACATCGAGGACTCGTGTGGCGCAAATGGGGTGTGTCAAAGCACCGACTCGGGTGCCATCTCCTGTGACTGTGGTGAGGGTGAGTTCTATAACGGAGAGATGTGCCTGGAGTGCAGTACATGTGGGCTGGCTGCGAGCGATGCTACTAACGGCACGTGTACGGCGACAAGGGATACGCTATGCGTCTGTGACAGTGGGTTCACGGGGCCCACCTGTGATACGCCTTGCCAGTTGCCCGCAAACTGCACAGAGGGGGATGCTAGCACCTGTGAGTTCGATAAGACTAATTTTGGATACAAGGCTATCTGCACCACGTGTGACGAAGGATTCTTCTTGAACGAGGTAAGTCGGCCGGGCTCTGGCTCTTCAGTTTCCTGTACACAATAAATCCACATTACTCTAAACTGATACTCTTCAAAAGGAGCTGCATCCCATCGTCCGGAGACACAAATTCGCTCTCTGCAAGGCGGGGTGGCGTGTTTTACTCAATGTTTTGTCACACTGTAGTACGGCTATATTCTCTGCCTATGCTGGTCCATCTTCATTAAATCTTCGCATGTCCTGCGTTCGTTTGTTGATATCTCATCATATGCATACGCTTGCAGGACCAGAGCTGTATTAGGTGCGCCACGTGTGGTGATGAAGGAGTACCCGCAGAAGGCGGCGAGTGCTCTGTCACCACCAACACTGTGTGTACCTGTCCTTTGGGAAAAACTGGGCTGGATTGCCTAGAAGAGTGTATAATCCCCGTGGGTTGTACGTCCGTGCTCACAGCTACTGCATCGAAATGCCAGTTCTCAATCGACAACTTTTCCCAAGGCATTGAATGTCTGAACTGTGCCAAGGACTACTATTTGGACGCTGACATCAAGCAGGTATGATGTCTATGCTCTTATGACACTTGTTTTGTGGCCTAAAATTAGGACATCCTGCCCGTGCACCAGGGTCGAAATTTGATAGACGTGGAGGCCTTATACAGCACTGTTTATTTAAATATGCATTATGTACGAATGCGAAACTGTTGGTTACTACACAGATGGAAGCATATCGGATTTGTTTGCCATAAATGGACAAGAAACTATTGAATGCACAGGTCAATGAATATCGGGGTTATATGTATTGTTTATACTTGTACTGTCCCGTGCTGCAATACAGGTTGTGGTACATTAGATATAAGCACCAGATTTCATCTCACTATCTCTTGAATGCTTTGAAGCGTGTCTCGGAGATGTCGTCTGTGTATGAACCTGTTTATGGTCAACATGATCATTCAATTTCAATTTCTACCTACTTTACAGTGTGTACCCATTACAGTATGTGACGAAGAGAGCTATATTTCCAAGGCTTCTACCGAGAACAGTGATCGCGAGTGTACACCCTATACGGTGTGTGCCGCGGACGAGTACGAGTCTGTTGAACCAAAAGCACGGTAAGTTCTTCATGATTTCTTTATATGTTATATAATATTTTTCGTACATTATATATACATATAGGTACAGGTTTAGAGATATCTATACAGATACATATATGTAGTGGTATAGATACAGGTGTATACAGTGCTATAGATGTATATACAGATATACAGCGATATATATATATATTTATATATATATTGCATACATTTATGCAAGCATGTTTATATGCTTATATACTTAAAAAATATACATGCATATATACTTACAAATTCACAAACATATATATATAAGTGTGTGTGTGTATATATGTATGTATTGTATGTACATATATACGTATATATATATATATTATTTGTGTGTGTGTATGTACGTATTATATATATATATATATATAAAATAGCTCATATTTGTAGTTATATGTATACGAAATTGGCATGCAAGATTTAATCCTAGTTTTGTGTGCATTTTACGAAGTGAAGGATTCTCATCAATATTCACGTCCGATATTTCTTCTGCAGCGAGGATCGTGTGTGTACGAGCTGCTCGTCTACCGAGTTCTGCACAACAGTTACGTCCCAATGCTCGGCCACTTCTGATGCGGTGTGTTCGTCCTGTCAGTCGGGAAAAATTGGACAGGCATGCCAGGGCAATTCCGTAGTGCTAACCGTAGACGCCGACGCTGATACTTGGAGTGACGAAGACGGCGAACAGCTTGCCATAGATACGGCATTGAGTCTTGGCGTACCCATAGGGGATGTGGTGTATCTGGGCTTTACACCCGGCAGTGTGAATGCGGAGATGCAGTTCACGGATGCGGCGAGTGCCAGCTTGGACAATACACTAGCGAATGGAGGGCAACTGCCAGTCGACGTCACTAGCGTGCAGCAGGCCGATGGCGAGCCAGTGGCAGTGGGATCTGAGGGCAGCTCCTTGTCAACAGGTATGTACTGATTTCAATGATGTAGGACTAGTGGGGTACTGTCTTGTTGCTCAACGGGTTCTAGAGGGTAGTTTGCATTCTTTGGTTTGGCTTGTACACCATTTTTCGAAAGTTCCTGCTCATCCGCTGCAGCCCACTGATCCAAGTGTATAGCTATTTCGACTCATACCCTGAAACAGAATTCAAATTCATCGTAAGATTAGGAATCAATCGCCATGACATCCTCATGTAGTGGCTATGTTATGATAGTTTTAGCAGCGTAATAGCTATACGCATGTCTTATGGTTCGTCCTCAACTTTCTGTATCCACATTAGAGGTCTAAAAAAATGCTTTTATCATCATACTACAGGCTTAATCGTAGCCATTGTGCTTGTCTCATTGTTCGCACTTGCGGCCGTATGCGCGGCCGTCTATTTCGTCTGGAGTCGTTCTCGCATCATTGAGCAACAAAGACAGAAGACGGTGGATGAGATTGTCACCGATATCCGCAAGCAGTATAAATGGCTCGATCACAACGACCCAACCGCTCAGACTAAATTGGACAGTGTTGGACGTGAGGCTGGATGGCTACCTCGCAATCAGGTGTGTGGAGTGTATATTTGCGACACAGATTGTAGTATTTCATTTGTAGTTGTATCCAACATGCTTAAACTCTGTACTGCTGTAGCAATTGTAGCTAATCGAATTGCCACATGTCGGTGGCGGTGGCGGTGATGTTTTTGTCCGATTTTGGTTTCCATTGCAACGTCCAGTTACCAGGGTATATATGGTTATGAATGAAGGCGTAATCATTTTGTAGATTAGCCTTTTGTTCTGCCTCGTCCATATTCGTTGATTGTGCGTATGAAAGACCAAAAACGTATTTTGTATATAAACCGATGTGAAGTATTGATACTCAAAGGGATCGACAATTCGATAATCCAGAGTAACTCATTGTGAATAACAGCAGCTTTTATTTTCACGCAAGCAAATGTCCTGCTAAACGGTGTACATACACCTACTAGTATGTTGCTCAACAGAGTCAATATACATACCATGGCTAACTCTACGGACGCTCCGCAGTTCGCTCTACTGGATGTTCTCGGCAAGGGAGCCTTCGGACAAGTGTGCCGAGGCGTGGTCTTTGTCGAAGGCACCGCCGTTGTGTGTGCCATCAAACAGTTGCTGCAGAATGGCGATGAGGCTGAGTTCCAGAAGGCGTCAGACGATTTCCTCAGAGAGGCTCAGCTGCTCAAAGGCCTGGACCATCGCAATGTCGTGCGAATGATTGGTGTCAGTATGGACGAGGAAATGGAGGGAATGGACGGTACGTTTGTTTGTTGGTTTAGAGCCAATCGGGAGTTTCGAATATCTTGCTCGTTTCAGGCAGTCTACTATTTTGTATCTAATTTGTATAGTTATTACTGCCCTGTTAACATTTGCTTCACTTCGTATACAATGCATCCACAGAAGCACCGTCCATTTACATGCTCCTAGAGTATATGGATCTGGGTGATCTGAAGGGCTACATGCAGAAGAGGGGTGAGAATATTGATATCGGCGAACGCCTGTGGTTCACGCGAGAAGTTTCAGCAGGATTTGCTTACCTGGCTACCATTCCTGTTGTGCATCGTGATATCGCTGCTCGTAATGTGCTGCTCAGAACTAACCCTCACGAAGGAGGGTATCCTTACGCAAAGATTTCCGATATGGGTCTGGCTCGTCTTACTGGTATGTTTTTATGCGGCGGGAACTAGATGCATATGTGCGTATACCAACTTTTGTATATACACATATATTGCATACGTTTACATGAATACATGCGTATACAAACCTATGTATATCTACTTATATTGCACATGTTTACGATAAAATGTGTGTATATTCTCGTATATCCTGTGTTTCTGAATACCTGTATGTTCTATATCTTTACATTTATATAGACATGTGTGTGTGTATGAGCATGTATAAAATACATGAGTAAGTATATATATTGTCTGTGCTATATATACTATATACGTGTACACACACATTTATATATATATCTATATGTACATATGTATTTTTATATTATATATATTGAAAAAGAGCTATCGTTTTTGTTTGGTATTGTTGTGACGTCATATAAATAAGTACGGTGATACTTATACGTGCCTACTTGATTCACATGTTTTCAACAGCGGGAAGTCAGCAGAACTACGTCAAGCAGAGTGAAGGAGGTATTTTACCTGTGCGGTGGATGGCACCCGAGACACTGTCTGCAAACGGAGTGTACACAGAGGCCTCCGATGTATGGGGGTTTGCTGTATGTGTGTGGGAAGTCTTCGCGGACGGTGCTATTCCGTATGACTTCTGTGATAATGCAGAGTTTATAGCTATCCAGAGGCACGCATCCCTGCGACTCAACAAACCAGACACATGTCCAGATCATGCCTATGATACCATGCTTAGGTGTTGGCAAACACAGTCAGAGGATCGTCCGAAGTTCAGCGAATTGGCCGAGATTTTCGATCGTCTTTTCTTCGAGGTAAGTTCCGAGTACTAAGAACTAAATTTAACGATGTATCGTGATGGGAGATGCCTGTGTACTGTACTCTACTGTATTCATTTTTACTTAACTTCTCGTTTTTAAATTCTTGCTCATAGCAATGTCCGAACTATAAAGACGTCGAAGAATTCGATGAGAATTCGGAAGATGGTTCACATATGGATGAGGTCAGCGAGTTCAATCATAAATCAACGAAAGACAAGGAGAAATTACCTGCCGCATCATCTGCCTATTCGGAACTTACCGCCCCTAACGCACTAGACGTGACTATCGATATTAACGAACGCAACAACTACGATAGTGTTGAACCTTCAAAGGGGTGAGTTTGATCAAATTTTTACCCCCTTTTTTTTTTGTGGATATGACATTTTTAGCACAACGGTAGTGCTGGCCAGGGGGATTGAACGACTCACTAGGCTCATCTGTCAGCTAAAATCAAATGAAACAACTCTCATCAGTAGTGAACAGTTCGTGGGCTATAATATTGCACGCACGGTTGCTGAAAATCTTAAACCTGGCATATACGTTTCTCAATAACAGTAATAGCAATGCCCAGGATGCCGCAGATAGAAGTAATTATGATACCCTTGACAGTTCTCCGGCGAGTGGCAAAGCTGCCAAAAAAACCCTTAAGGTGACGGCCCATGATCTTTACGTAGAGGTTCAACAAGCGTCAGGTGGGTTTAGCAAGATAACCTATAGGTTTACTGGCGAGTGCACAACATTGCGTGCTTGCTGTGGTGCGAAATCAGGTGTAGATGCTAATTTCTGTTATTCGATTTATATTTCTATCTCAGGAACAATTTTTTTTTTCTGAGCCAGATGCTACATTTCTATTCCTGAACCAGATGCTACTTTCATATAATCACTATCTCTAAACAACCATTGCAAGCGTGGAAGTACGTTTTCGTATCGAACATTGATACATTGTATTTATATTGGTACAGTTAAATCCTCTGCAATCATCTGTAGTTTTTACTTCTCTTCTGTTGTTTGTTATCCTCATGCTTATAGTCTTGTCCCTGTTTCTATCCACACAGTTGAAAGTCCGGTCACGATCGATAGTGCCACCCCGATTGACAGCAGCGTGAATTTGGTGACTGGTGAACATACCGTCTAGTCATTTTATTATACTAATTATAATCTATAATTTACGCCGGATCAGAAGCCATAATTTAATAGATCTTTTGGTCATGTCGGATCCGAGGCCATAATTTAGAAGCTTTTCAAATGGTTCAGACTTTCATACAGGTTACAAAATCTTCACATTCACAGTAACATGTACGCATGCGCTGGCCTCAGACTGCACTGTATATCGTGCTTGTGCCTGAATAATTAGTACCCTAGCAGAGTATCGGCGGTTATGTTGAGAGTGGTATGCTAACAGCAAATTGGGTGGCGTGCAACACAGCTTCGTTTAATATACGAGATATCCTGCTGGAACCCAGCACAAATCAGGAAAAAACTGAATCTGCTGACTTCTTTACAGCAATATGTCAACGAGGTACAAATAATTTTGAACATCTAAAGATAGCTGCTGTCTTGTAAACAATAGTCGATTGTAGTAAAAGTCGACGGATACCAATAAAACGGGAATACTAATTGATCGAATTTACGACATTTCAAGTCTATTTTTCAGTATTTCATTGGCGGAATGATCCATATCATGAAAACGTTACAAGTATGAGGTTAGCACAATCTTACAATCGCAACTCGAATGGTTGGGAGTTGGTTGAAACCAACTCTAACCATTCAAATATAATTTTGTAATATTATACAAAAGTCGTCCCACAACCACTAATCACGCAATACTATATTTGTCAACCGTCCATGACCTTCTTTCGTCCACGAACCTTCAACAGTATTTTATTATATTACGTTTGTCAACCATCAATAGTAATATCAATAGTAATATTGTATTTATCAATCATCAACAATTACAATCAATGATTGCTTGCGATTAACAATAAAAATTAAATATACGTTCTAACTACTCTCGAAGAAAAACGGATGATTCGTGTATGTTCGTGTCGTGTGTGTGCGTGTGTGTTAAGCTATCTCAAGCCACCGATATTATATTTGCTAACCATCAATAATTGTCGTTCTTCTCTCAGTTTTCAAGTCTAGTCTCAACCACCAACAGAATATATTTGTTATTGTAATATGTGGTTGCAGTATCTTTCGTCCATCTCATACATACATATTTATATCTCTCTCATAGCCATATAAAATAATGACATCTCTCTAGAGAGAGAGTTTTCACTTTCAAGAGAGAGACTCACACTCTCTAGAGAGAGTGTCTCATCACTCTCAAGTCTCCAGTCTCAACTATCAAATTAATGAACTACAATACTCTGTTGAACTAGAAGAACTAATCTTTATTACTATTTCAGTTGTAAATATATAATAAAGTTATGATCTGAGAAAGAGAAAATATTGTTGGGTCGTATCCAAGACATTTAGTTGTCATGAAGTATAAAACCTAGTTTAGATAGTAAACCCCACTTTGTCGTGTAACCCCAATGAGTGAGCTCAATACCCGCCCTCAAGGCAAAGTGGGGTATTGAGTTGGATTCAATGATGGAATCGTCCAATTTATGGAGGAGCCCTTAAAACAGATGAGTGTCACAGTTTGTGATCTGCTAGACATGCGGCAGCCGCTCCAATCAGAGTCAGTATAGGCGACGAGAGCAGAACTGAAAGTTTGATTAGGAAGTTAGCGTTTGTATATGATCGAATAATCCATAGTAGTGTGTAGATAATGAAGGATACGTTCATGTGCAACCTTGTGTGCATCTGTGGGTTTAACTAAGCGTAACTGAGACGTCAAGACGGGTAAGATTTGCAGCGAAACTCAAGGCGCCGAAAAGTTGGCAGAAACCTTTTTTGTTGAAGTGATGGGTGAGGTAACCAGTGTGTCAGGGCTACAGTGTGACAGTGTGCCCGGTATGTATTTAGGCAGCGTATATTGGGAGTGGAAACGTATCGAGCAAAGAACAAGTGTAGGCATGCTGGTCGATAATTATTCCCTTTTCAAGTGAGGAATTCGGAGACCGACAAGGTGAGATGCGAGGCCGATAACTTATAATACTATAGTATTTGCCTAATGCCTTGAAGAGCCATTGCTCTTCGTCAGAATTGCGAGGCACTACAGGCACAATTTCATCCACATAGAGGACAACAATAGTGCGACGGGTGCGGTGGATTCAGATACTTCCTTCGGCATAAGAGCGGATAAAATTAAGGTCTTTCAAATTTGTGGCGATATCTATAATACACAGGCGATCAGCCTGCTTAAGCCCGTATAAGCCACGTTTAAGGTGGATAACATGGAATAGTTTGTAATATCCCAGATCAAGGCTGCTAGCGGAGGATACATATAGACCGACGTGTCAAGAAGAGAATATAATTACGCTGTATCGGCGTCAATGTGAAAGACGTCGAGGTTGTTGAAAGCGGCATTCGCGAGGAAAAGACGAAGTGTGCATGAGATAGCGGCTGGTGCGTAGGTTTGCCAAATTGAATCGCCCTGCTGTTGTTGATCGCCTGAGCAACGAGGCGAGCTTTGAAATTGGTCAGCAGCCATTTTCGTCGTGCTTAATGTTAGTCGTGTTCAATGTTAAAAACGTGTTTGGAGTGGATGATGCGAGCGTCATGAGGGACATCTGCAGTAGGAATGAGATCGGCAAGTTGGTTCCTGTCATCGACCGCGTGCTCTTTGTAAATTGCAGCTTCCCAATTAGGCCATTCTTTCTGTGCTTGAGCTTGTTTAACGCTCTCGGGCAGCTTAGGGTCCAGGGAATTGATAGCGTCCAGGAGTGATAATGTAGTCTTGTGTTTGAATGATGGAGCGACGGCGGGGTGCACATCATCAGCATCAGAACCATAAATGAAATTATCAGCAGGGGCGTCAGAAAGATGACACGTGGGGGCTAAAGTAGGAACTAGTGCACAAATACTGGGGTCAGAAGAATCAGGTGGTCCGGGAGGAAAAACTGGTTGTGCCTGGGATTGGCGAGGACGTCAACGGGATGCTTGAAGTGATTCATCAAGTAGAGTAAGTGTATTGGAGAGTTATTAGCGTTGGGGCAGGATGTATTGTATGGGGTGGTATTGGGCGACGGCGACGAGTTGTACTTTTAGGGGGTAATATAGCGCACGGTTAACCAAGCATGGCTTCAAGCTGGAGGAAAGATAGGCTGCGACGGGAATTAGACGGGGCGGGTGGTGGTAGAACACAAAGGTGAGCACGGTCAGCAAGTAGGGGAGTACTCAGAGGTTTAGCCTGTGAAATGCGACGTATATCGGAGAGAAGCGGTATGTTGCGGGATTCAACATAACCAGGTTGGAGGCGAGGTAGGGGCACGGCGGAGGGCATTGGTGGAATAATGCTCGTTGGTGGTGGTGTCAAGGAGACAATATTGATGTGATCGGTAGAATCACTGTGTATTGTGGGGGAAGTGAGAAAAATCGGTGGCAACAGTCATTTTGGAGCACCCGGGGGGGACTTCGGAAGGAGAGAGGTGGTCTGATCAGTACGAGGAGCGGGAGAAGGAAAGGTAGGGAAATGATGCAAGTCGATGGGAGGAGCTGAGGCCGGTTGCGGTGGTTGAGAATAGACGGAGGGGACAGCGGACGAAAGAACGGCCTTAGAAACGATGTTGGACGCTGGTGGGTGAGAGGCAACAGACGGGGAAGACGAGGTCGGGATGGAGATCGAGGCGGTCGGTGCATTGGATCGAGTGGCAACATCGGGGAAACATGGTGAGATGAATGGCACAGATTTGGTGCCTTTACTTAAGTCAGTTGCCCAATCGATAGGAATGGTATATGAGCCTGGGGTGGTGAGCATCGCTTTTCGTCGGCCGACCACTCAGGAAATTCTGGAGGAAATAATTGAATGTTGCGTGAGTAGAGCATTCGCTGAGATTTTTTTGTATTAACCAAGTGTCGGCGGTAAAATTTAGATAGTGACCGAGAAACACTCCAAGTCCAAAATGAACACCACTTTCTCTGAAGTATATATTTATATATATATATATATATATATATATATATATTTATATATATATATATATATATATATATATATATATATATATATATATATACATATATATATATATATATATATAAATAATTACATATAAAAACATGTAACGCATATAGGAGCGTAACTAATAAAAACGTACAGTATACAACAAAAGATGAACATGCCTTCAACCAAGATCACACAAAAACCCGGTGTAGTAACAAACGGACTGCATGCGTAATTACACAACACACTACGTA